ATTTTTTTCGACTGTAATAGATGTGTTCTGCTATGGTGTTCCTCTTCGAAAACAAAACCACAAATATTAATCTGGTTTACCCATTGCTTCAAAGAACTACACATCCATCCATCCATTCTCTCTCCATTCCTAACTGTGTGGATTGCAACCAGTGTGCGCCCCTCAAAAAAAAAATAAACTTACAGCACCCTCTTGAGAGATATGGTCTAAAGGTGATGAGTTGTGTATTTTAACAGTAATGATTTGATCAAATGGGAATCCTGAAAATATCAAACTTTTTTGTATTTTATTATTTTGTTTCAGTTTTTATGATGTGATGTCATCCAAAGTTTGTCTTGTGTATTATAACCTGGATTATTTTCTGTCACCTTTGCACAACCTTTCCTGCTGCTGTACAGTTGACCAGACTTAAGACCAACACTGACTCCCTCGTTTTTGTTGTCTTACATTTTCTCTAACTACGGAAGGCGTTTTAATCACCCTCATATCATAGTTTAACGTATAATTCACATTCTTTTGAATGGAGTGACATGACAAGATTTCCCCTGCAGATTTCTACCCTTGTGACCCTGAGGTTGGTGACACAAGTTGGAGGAGATGATCAGCTGGATGCTCCAAAATACAAATGTGCCGTTCCTCTAGACTTCATACGGAGTGTTGCCAGGTATGTCAACGTTTGTGTACTTCCGTGTATTTTGGTGTAGTTAAATTGTAGTCCCGGGTAATGTCAGTAATAATCGTTCTCTGGTATAATATAGAGTTACGCCTCCGTGTATTTGTTAGGATATATTATGGGATTTGGCCACCTTTTCTAGTATGTTTGTTCTGCCAAAGTTTAGTCTTGGTGCTGTTTTCTACACATGACTTCAGCATCTTAATACATATACAAAAAGTGTACACAAGGTGTTTAAGTCGTTCCTGACTTGGATAATGAAACCCATGTGAGGAATCCATTTTGCATATTTGTTTCAACATTTACGGTAAGTGTATTTATCCCGTGAGGAAGTGAAACAAAATTTTCCTTGAAACATTATTGTTCAGATTTTTCTTTATTGATTTAGTTTGTGGATATACAGACAATATACTGGTTTGGAAAAGCCAGTGAATTTTACAAATACCTGTAAACCTGGAATTTTATGTGAATTCAGTTCAACTTCAAAATATTGTTATTTTGACAGCAGTCTTATTATAAATTAATGTTGTACTATATAATAGGTAAATAATTAAACTTTTAGGAACAAATTCCAGTAGATAGTTCACTCCAGCAACTGAATTGTTTGTGCACCTGTCATATTTCATGTTAGCGATCAAATAACCTAATATTGAAGGTTATACTTACTAATTCTGCAATGAGTATTGTCAGAGATGAATTGTTCTTATAATTAAGTGACTTTATTTAAGTGGATTATTCCACATATTTATCATGAGTCATATACTGTAGGTGGATTAGGAATTGATTTTTTGTTTTTTTTTTGCCGGATTTTACTGCTTTTTTTGGAATCTCCGGGTCGACCCTCGTGAATCGCACAAATTCGATGAGAAAAATATGGAGGGGGGGTGTGTCAAGGTCTTTGCCAATGTTCATCACTAGGCTTCGGGTGGGTCGTGGAAGGGTCTTCAATTGCCTGATTAATATCATTTATATCGTCTTTAAATTTCCCAATAGTATATACATATTATTGAAAACCTTAAATTTTGTTATTCTGTCATAATAAATACCGAATTACTGTACCTGGATAATGTTTCCTACAGTAAGTGGGGTGATAATCACCAGATAAAAAAGAAGGGTCAGTTTCTCCTAGGGCAGTGATGTAACTGATGTCCTGCTCAGCACACACCACAGTACGAAAACCTCACCAACCTTGACTGGCACAGGGCTGAACTCATGTTTCACATCATGGGTGTACTGTCGACTGGGCCATGGAGACCTGACGTATTAATAATAGTTTGAAAAGTATTATCGATTGATGTAACCAATTTTTTTTTTCTCTTTTTTTCCAGGATGGTTAGTTTTGACATCGTACGTTACCTGTATGACTACTCATAGCCAGTGTGTCGCCTCTTGATGTGAGTGCCTTAATGGTGTGGTACAATTACTTTTATAATCTGAAAAATTCTTGAATGTTGCATTCAAGTACTGAGTTGCCTAGCCATCATAAAAAGTAATGTACAAGGATGAAATAATTTCCCCTCCCCAAAAAAACTATTATCAAAATCTTTTATGTCATAATGAACAACTTGCAAACACTGTTACAGTTGTACCCCGCTTAACGCGGTTTCACTTAACGCGATTTCTCATATACGCGGTGCCTCGCCAGAACCGAACTTTCACTTAACGAGGTTCATCTACTGTACTCATATACGCGGGAAGCGGCGCGGACATGATGCGCACAAGGTCGCCCAGTCATCAAAACATTACCGAGTTCTTCACCCGCCACCCACCACAGCCGGCCCAAGTCAGTGATAATTCTAGTGAGGATATGGACTTATATGGACTTTG